GTTGTGAGGTTCGCGGGGCAGGGCAGCATACGCCTAGGTAGCGTGCATGCGGTGGCATGCGCCTCGCTGTTCGTGCGAGCGGGTGGCTTCTTGATGCGTTGGTCCGTGAATTAGGGCCACTCGCTTAGCTTCTCTTCCGTTTCATTCTTCCTCTTGACCTTAGTAGATTCTTCATTGGCCTTCAAAATGGTAAAAGTTTGTTGATGGGTCCAATGAAGTCTCTTTCGTTTGGTGGGTCTTTCTTCAAGCTTCTCTTCATTGTTGGTGTAGGTCGCATTTTGGAGCATTTGGTCAAATATGATCACATCAACTTCTAGATCACAAAGGTTGCTCTGTTCGTGGCTATATATGGGAAATATACATACGACACCATCTTTGGGCAATCGATCATCCATGCCTTGCAACCTATTCCCTCAACACTCCACTAGGCTCTGAAGTATCGTACAACCAATGTAGTTGGAGTCGTTCAAGGATAGCAAAAGAGTTCAAGGGAGTGTTATGTAGTTGCCTTGAAAGGATCAGTTGTTTATGCCATTTTTGAACCGAACGCCTAGACAAAACATTTGCAACAGAGCACGGAACTCCAATGAAAGAGTTCGAACTTGTCTCATTGCTCACCCCTGTGAGGAATATCAGCATTGTCACCAAGCTTGGGGCCACTGAGAAGGAAGAGCTCATCGCCTTCCTAAGAGTTAATGCAGATGTATTCGTCTGGTCGCACGAATATATCCCAGGCATTTATCCAACCATCATGGTGCATCGCCTCAATATAGATCACTGTTTCTGACTTGATAAACAGAAGAGAAGACCTGTAAATAGAGAGAAGTGATGTAACAGTTGAGAAACTTAACAAATTGTTAAAAGATAAATTCATACAAAAAGTCAGCTACCCTAAATGGCCCTCTAATGTTGTCTTAGTTAAAAAAAATCTAACGAAAAGTGGTGCACGACTTGGAAAAGACATTCTCTTTTCTCAACAGTTTTTAATGAAGCTCAATCTAGTCAAATGCACATCTAAAGTGTGTCATGGGAAATTCTTTGGCTTTATGGTCAACCACCAAGGAATAGAAGTAGATCCGAAAAAAAGATTAAGGTCGTAATGAACATGGAAGCGCTAAGAATCCTGAAGCAATTCAGTTTCTTTACGGAAGAATAGCTGCACGCAATCGCTTTATGCCTCGATCCACGGACAAGTGCTTGTCATTCTTCAAAATCTTAAGGCAAAAGGGTTTGTTTTAATGAACTGCAGACAACCAAGGAGCATTTGACAAACTTAAAGTTTATTTAAGCTCGGTTCTTTTATAGGCAAAATCGTGGCAATGAGAAAAGCTTGTTCTGTTCTTAGTAATCTTGAAAAGTGTCGTAAGCTCAGCCTTGGTCTGACCATCTATTGGAAGTCAAAACCCTGTTTCTCATACAAGAAAGGTGGTGATTGATAGAAAGACTACGTTATACCATATTGAGAAGGTCGCCCTTGTCGTTCTCATTGCTAGTAGATGATTAGGACCTTTCTTTTAGGTTCATCCGATTACATTGCTTACAAACCTTCCACTGAGCCAGGTATTTCACATGCCATAGAATTTTGGTGGTTGATGAAGTAGACACTAGAGCTTGGTGAATATGACATCATGTTCGAGCCTCGAACCTCAAGCAAAGGACAGACAGTGGCAAACTTTATTGTAAAGCTCACAATGC